CATAATATGCGCAAGGATGAAGGACGAGCTTGGTTGACGTTCAAGAAATTTGCCCAAGACTTGGCACGTGATAATTTCTCATCTGAACTCCGCTCGGCTGCTTCACCTCACAACCTTGGCACCGATCATGATCTTGTTCTCCCTTGCCTCCTTATTTTCTTACTCTCATCATGGATATCGACGCTGAGTACTTCATCTTCGACGACCCTGGCGCTGATGGCCTGAAAATTACGGCGAAACGTTACACAAGTAGATCGAGGGTGAATAAAAAGGGCTTGACGTTGCTATTCGCTCATTGCATAGGTTCTCGTGAGTAATCATTCTAACATACATACGACACGCGTCAATGAAAAGGTTAGATAAGGAGCAGTGGGAGCCCGTCATTCAACGCCTCTTTCAAGTCCAAGAGACCGAAGCTGAGGTGCATCGGATTCGGGAGGCGTGGTCATTCGACTGGCAAAGCCACGGAGATGCTGCTGTCCTGAATCACAATCTGTTGAAGGATCGTACAAAGTGTGTTTGTGAGTTATTCTGCTCTTCGTACACTCAGCCGGGATGGGGCTGTGTGTGTTCTCCATATGCTACCATGTGCTCGGAATTATCGCCCGCCAAGAACTATGTTTTGGGTTTCGTTGTCTAATAACACCTTCAACAGCCGTTTACGAATGGACACCTGCGTTGGCAGCCTTCATCCGCTCACCTCGAATGCAGGGACACCGGATCGTACCTCTAGGGCATTCTGCTGGCGCAGCTGCGATGTACGTATTCATTTTTTTTACCATGATCATCGTTACGAACAGACCACCCGTGATGCTTTACGGCCTCGCGCATCCTATATACGATCCGCGCCATAATTCCATTCCCTTCTTTTCCCGCCGTCTTTTCGCCACTAATGCCCCCTGTCTTAGGTTGCTAACGACCAAGGAAATCCCCCCATCTACATTCGCCGCCATGATTCTTATTGAACCTACTATCGTCACTCGGGAAGTATTCAACTCTGAACTGGAAGACCGCATGTCCGCCATGGATTTTTCCGTCGCAGCCACGTCTTCCCGCCGGGACGTCTGGCCCTCCCGGGACGAGGCATTCCACTACTTCAAGAAAAGGATCCCATGGAGGGTTTGGGACGAACGTGTAATTCTTCTGCTCACAGTAAACCCTCTCCGCTGCCTTGTTTTTTTCACATATCTGATATCGGTATAGCGTTACGGATTGCGTGAATTGCCTGGTG